TTTCCAACTAAATCATCCATTCCTTCCCACAGATTTCCCCCTGGAGTTCTGCGAAGCGCTGCCGTGGCCTATCCCAACCTGAGCCACGAGAACTGAAAGGATCTCCCCTGGACTCATCACAGCTGTAGCTCCTCTCCAACACTGAGCCCAAGTGAAATCCAGTGCAGGGTACAGCTGGCTGAGCTCCAGTGCCCACAGCCCCTGCTGGATCTCACCCTCCGTGGGATCTGAGACAGATTGGTCCATTCTGCCTTAAAGGTGGAGAGTGAACATTAATTAAAGACAGAACTCTCCTGCAGTGCAGAGTCAGGACTGGCTGTAAATGTGCCCTGCAACAGAAAATCCACCAGGTTTGCATCCTTGTTTTCTTTACCCTGTGTAAAGATGGCTGCAAAGATCATGTATGGATCAACAAACAGAAGGAAGTCAGTTTTCTTTCTCTCTATTCTTACCAAAACATTTAAACTCAGGACACGTCCATCCTTGTTAATGTGACGAATTTTAGGGGCGACTTAACAATGCAAGTACCCCTCAAAACAAGCTTGGGATTCTTTTTCCATTGCCCTGCCCTGTACTGTAGCCACCAACGTAAAAAAAAAGCTAAATCATAACTGCTGCATTTTGTTTGTGCTTGCACAGCATAAGGCAATGGGGAATTGGGTCCTTTGTTTCTAAGCACAAGTTTAACTTGGATGACACTGAACTACTGAAAGAATCTGATGAACAGATATAATACATCAATTTCCTGTATTAAAGGCTATCAAAGTCATCATTCTAATTTTCTGCTTCTCTCACAGAGACAAAAGGGTTTGATTTTTTTTTTATCATACCAATGCTTGGCTTTTTTCCTTTATTTTTATTAAAGACATCTCTGCAATAATTTCATGAAAATGATTCTGGTCTTTTTTCTATTGTAAGGAAGCAAAAGGATTTATTTAGCTAAATTTGCAGTCCCCTTTAATGTAATACTAGGGCTTTGTGCTACAGTGGATTAAAGCAGCATCTGTTCTTCTCTGGAAACCTGGAGTGGAATCACAGCAGTGCAGTAAGTTGCCATCTCTGTCTGTACCCTAAGTAGAACTGTCCCTCCTCTAAATAAAATTCAAATGGATTCCTGAAGGACACAAGAAGGAATGTGTAAGTAAAATATTTTTGATTAATAAGTCTTGCTAAAAAAGCCCATGATCAGTAACTGTTTTTGCATAACAAAAATGTGTGACTTTAGCAAAATCTATATTTACATAATTTTTGACATAAAATTACAATATACAGGATGCTAAAAGTGAACTTCCAAACACAGAGCCTGATCCTGCTCTTGTAACTACACAGTCCTCCAAGGTAACAGAAATAAAGCAGCAAACTAGGAATATGACTTTGGTTCATACTCTGTTTAAGCACAAATGACACCGAAACAAATCATGGTTAACAAAAAGTGCACCAATACACTTCCTCCCCTAACTCATGATCCAGCTCTTCGTAATTCCAGCTGCTCTGTGGATCAGGCAATGCCTGAGTTAAGGGCACATCCTCATATATTTAATGTCACAAACAGAGCAATCAGGGCTCCATCTTGATTACAGTTTCTGAGGTCTCCTGCAGTTCTGTTATTAAATAAACATACAAAGAAATAATTGATTGACAGCTGGTGTGATTAAAATATGCCTGGCTCTGAAATTAATGATAAAATTACCATCAGGTCTGACAGAGAAAGAATGAAGGAAATGCTGAAAGAGCAAAAAAATTGCATCCTGAAAGTCCTTTATGAATTATCCGTGCAAATCCCTGCACTGAAAAGGTACAACCACCCAGCTAGTCTACATCCATGTCTCATACTGCTCAAAGGAACACAGTGGGGTTTCTTCTCCTCAGACTTTGGTCTATTTTTTTATTTTTTTTTTTTAAAATACAATATTCAAAAATACAGTCCCTTGAACCCTCCTTTGCACCTGTCAGAATCACAGAGAAACTGGGAGCCTCATGGATTTACAACCAAGATGGGGCATCAGTTGGGATGCTGAAATTCTGTGAAGGCCTAGTGGATAATTTCCGAGCCATCTTTATGGCATTAATATTTCCAGAATGCCCTGACAGCAGGCTAACCCCCATTTTACCCACTGAGAGTCACACAGCTGAGCCTACAAAGTTAAGGCAATGCACTGTCTTGAATTTCAATTGGAATATCACACAGTAGGGAAAAGAACACTTGGAAAGCAATACCTCACTCTTGTTTCCCAATGTTCTGCTAGAGACCCCTGAAATCTGAGTGTCAGTGGTGTTAAACACCAAGAAACACAACTGAACCATGGGAGCTGTTAAACACCCACAGGTAACAGGGTGACACCCTGCATCACCACCAGAGCAGTGACTGCTTTCAGGCCAGTTTTTATAACTCACAGCTGAGCCCTATCGGTGTTCAGGGCAAGTACAGTCTGAGGCATCACTCCAGTAATCACCTAAGTGCTCTCATCAGCTACACCATTAGGAGACCTTCCTCTTCAGAGAGTCTGATCCTCCAATTGCCATCTTTATACTTCACAGAAAACATGATCAGCATAAAGATGAACTGTTGTTCCTCAGCAGTTGTTCCACCTGAAGTCCTTGCCCCTACTCTCGAGACCCTCATGGGCACGAAACAATCCCAGCCTCCAAGTGCTGGCAGAGCATTTTCATGAAGACCCAACACTTGGAGGAATACTTTCCATATCCATACAAATAGAAACATGATTCTCTTGAAAGAATTTTCATTTTGCAAACATGAAGTGGTCACAGGGTGAGAAAAAAACCATGGAAGGCCACAAGGTTGTCTATCCTAGGAAATCACTTCCCAGTTCTCCAGAGGAGCACCCTGAGAACTGCTGGTGAAGACACCTTCTCCAGCAGAGAAGGTCTGCTTGCCCTGCAAGGATCAGCAACCTTCCAATACAAGTCTGTAAAAGGAACAACAAATCAGAGTTACTGTTCAACTTGGCATTTGCCCTTTCCAGTGAAAAACTGAATCCCTGGGTTTTCTTACCTGAAAGTTGCCAATTATTCAATGAATCTGAACTGCAAGTTGTTTATTAACTGCCCCAGTCTTCCTAAGGGGCAAAGAAATAACTGAATGCTGTTCATACACTGAGTATGATTGGCACTGCTTAGCTCCAGATCTTGTATTACAGGTAGGGTATTTGATGATAAGGAATCATTTCAGATTAGTACAAATAGGAAAAAAATTGGATGATGGCTGACTTCACACATAAAACCCCAACACTGAGCCTCTCTTTAACCAAAAGAAAAAAACACAGCTGACTCCCATAAACTACTCTCAATATCTGCAATTTAAGGAACTAGAACAGGACACCACAACAAAAGCAAATGTGGTACAAAACCAGAAGGAAAAGGGAAAATGGGTCATTTTACTCAGCACAGCTGAAGTTCTCCCAAAGCACTAGATAGATGTAATGAATTCTGTGTTTATATGAAGGGTATCTGCCACAAGAATAGACATGGTTAAATACAACATCCAAACAAAGTACTCAGCAATTCCTCTTTTAGCACATCAGGCAGAATAATCAAGTTTAACTGAAAGGAAGTGCACAGCAATGTGTGAATAGAGGAAAAAAGTCTGAAACAATGATGAATAGCAGAACGTAACAGTGTAACAGGCAAATCTGTCACTACAGTAACAGTTATGAATTATGTTTTGTAGCAAGCCATGCAAAGGTAACATCACTTATGCAAACACTGCCAACTCCACACAGGAAACCTGCACTAATCTTTTCCTTAAGGGTAAAAATGGGCTAAGGGATCATTAAATGTGTGACTAAACTGTACTATGAAACCCTTTTCTTTATCAAAAAACGTTTTTCCTTTCTTCTCTAGGAAAGAAACTGCTGCATTCATATGTAGTTACACTGAATCCAGTCACTTCCTCCTTTTATGTTTCTCCACACATGCCCACACCCAATTTAAGATGTTTTCTATCTTTAGTTTCAAGTTGAATATTCCTTTAAGAGTCAAACAGCTCAGTATTTCACTGAATTATTCGGTGGGATAAACTTTCACCATGCATCGGAGACAAATTTATTTTGCAAGTGCACTTGCCAGCATAACTATTTTAGTCTGTCATAAATCCACACACAGCACCACACCAGAAAAACTAGTTTGTGCATCGAGTTTTCAGGCGGCTCACGGAGCAGTTCTGTGTTTCTGCACTTTTGACACACGTTATTTTGGTAGTTAACAACATCATAACAACAGAGACTGTGTGTGTTAACACGACAAATCCCACTGCCTGTTTCTCTTGCGTCAGTTATTCAAGTATCAGTACTTTAAAGGTCTTTGAATTGAACGTTTTCTTTTCTTTTCTTTTCTGGCTGAGGGCACGAGTAGCAAATGATGGTTTCCCCAGGCGGTCCCGCCGAGCGTAACTCGCCCTCCCATGAGAGCAGGCCAAGGGCAGGTCTCTGCTGTCCCGGACAGCGGGAACAGCCTGTCCCGAGCTCTGCAGCACAATTCCCACCAGGTTGACACCAGTCATGTGATTCCCTGCCCTGTCCCAAACTCGCCCGAGCGCCGTGTTTACAGCCCGGTGCGTGAGGGCCCCGCACGCCGCTCGGCTCAGCCCTGCCCCGGCAGCTCCCGAGGGACTCGCGGCTCTGCCGGACACCCCTCGGGCACCGCGGGTAAACCACCGCGACTGAAAACGAACCCACACGGCGCTGCCGCCCGACCCCCGCCCGATCCAGGGCACAGGTGTGACCGCAGGGACGAGGGGTGACCCCAGGGACAAAAACGGGTGATCTCAGGGACAAGGGGGTGACCCCAGGGATAAAGGGGTGACCCCAGGGATAAAGGGGTGACCCCAGGGATAAAGGGGGTTCCCCCAGGGATAAAGTGGGTCCCCCAGGGACAAGGTGGGTCCCCCACTGCCAGCCCTCGGCGCTGCCCCCTCAGCCCGTCCCGCCCGGCCGGCGCGGAGCCCTTTGTGTGCCGGGGCCCCCCCGCCCGGCAGCGCTCACCCGCTGTCCAGCTCCAGCTCCAGCTCCAGCAGCGACTGGGTCCGCTCGGAGCTGCAGTGCAGGCACCACATGGCCGGTCCGATGCCGGAGAGCGGGCCCGGCACCGCCGCCCTCCCGCCCCGCCCGCTCCCGCCACGGGCACGGCGGGGACAGCGCACGCGTCGGGGGCGGGATTCCCGGGAAAAGCGCGGCTCCCAGGGCTTCCCCCCGGGGCAGCCGCGCCTGGGGGCCCCACAACCAAGCAGCAGCACCCGCTCTCAGGCTCCGTATGAATAATATCCTGTGATAACGCCAGAGAGCCGCGCTGGCTGATCTCTGTAGTTTGGGGGAGCTCCGAAGTTTAGTGAGAAACTAAAGATGTTGCTGAAATCCGGTACAAGAGCGAGCGTAGTGAAAGGCCCAGCTGTGCCCTCGTGGTGTGTGTAAAACGTACCTCTTATTTAGAGTACATACCATCATAAAAAGAATCTAAGCGACTTTGCTTAAACCCCGTTAAACTTCTGGCCCGAGCGTGCGTTTTGCACAGTTTCCTAAGGAGGTGTTAGGCATGGATTCCAATAAGCCCGGGTTTAATTACCTTTCAGTGAAACTCAAATACGTTAAGGAAGGACACACCCACACAGACTGTTTTTAATGTCACTGCAAGTCTCTAACCAGAGACTATTTACACTGCAATGCCTGCTTTCAACATCTAGTGGTTATCCAGACAGTCTCTTCCCTTCAGAAGGTCTGGGATAGACAACAACCCCAATTTTTCTGGTCCTGACTCAACGCACTCCCGCATGAAGCTTCATCTCCACTTGTAAACAGAGACAAATCCAAAGCAGACACAAGCAGTTCCCGAAAGTCAACTGCTCCTTTGGAAGCCAGTTTCCATTTAGGAACCAAGTGCAGACAGTTTTAGCGTGGGCTGTGAAGGAGGAGACATACTGGAAAGGGCGGCTGAGGAGCTCTGACCTCAAAAGCAGTCACAGAATTTTTTGAAGAATGTGCTTTTCTGAAGCCACTTCAAACACAGTCTTCCTTCGACAGATATGATCATGCTAGATCAGCAAATAACCAAGCAATGCTAACACAAATAACCAAGCAGTGCTAACACATCCCATTCCAAACACCGAGTGGATAATTGTTACATACAGCTTTCCCCCCCATCAATGTCAAGCATCCAGAATTCTCAATTTAGTTTTGCCATTCTGCTACAGAACTGTTCAATCACTTCTTGCTTTAATAACTCTTTAAAGTAGAGGTTAAGCGCCAAAATCATCTACATATATAAGACCTTGCATGTATTCCAACGGGGGGAATTAAATACAGAAAAGCAAATTCTTGCTGCACTATGCAGACAACATTGTGGTTTCCGAGTCGAGGCAGATGCAATTACTTTTGGAGGGACTTTTTGTTTAAGTTTCAACATTCCAAAACCATCTTCGTTGAACCATGATCCATAGTGCATAACCCAGTTTTCCTCAGGTAACAATAACCATAATCCATACTGCATAATCCATCCTCTCTCAGGTGCTTATTTATCATAGACCTTGACTTTTTAGGACAACTTTCTGGTGGCACAGGGATACATTTCTCTGCCACCCTGACGACATCTGTGCTGAACATACAGAGCTGATGTTTCAGGTTCTATAAGACAGAGCAGAAGAGGCTCTGCTAACAACACTGAGCCAACGTGGGCTTCTATTCCACTTTATTTATCTGCACTTTGGGTAGACAACTTTGGCAGAACCAACAGGAAGTACACACTCTGTTGTCCTCCCACTGCTATTCTGACATCTAACTAGCAATAAAGTTGCCACTAAGATATTGTAGAAATATGTAGCACAGGGAAAGGAGGTAGAAAACTAATTTTCCATGTCCTAGTATCCTTATTCCGGGCAATTTCTTGGAGCACAACTAACAGCCCACCACCAAGTTATCTCTGAGCCATTAAAACACAACAAACTTGACTTAAGCAAAAATGAAGGAACTGGGAAATCTCTGTGCAAGAGGAAGTGAACACAGATTTCAAACCATGAACTTATGCTCACCAGATCAGCCCAGAAGTTTGAGGAAATAATTCTGAAGGAAGCAGTGGCTGACCTTGGGAAGAGCTGGTTGTGCCCACTGACTGTAGTTGCTGCTTCATTCACTTTGGGCCGCTGTAGTTTTCAGTCAGGTGCCCAGCAAATGGCACTGCCAAACTTACAAAGGCTGCTCCAGCTTCGTTATCATTCTTCGTTACCATGTTTAACAGTGTCTCAGCAGTGAATATATGCTTAGGCTGTTCAACCTTCTTTGCTAAAGCTAACCCTGTTTTATTTCTAATACAGAAACATAATTAAACCTTGGATTAAGCACAACACTGAAATTTTGGTTTATCCAGTGATTTACATAAATCACTGCTATTTAATGTGTTAATGGCTAAAACAAAGTTTATAAACCCCCAGAGTGCAACAAACTCAATTTGTAATTATGAGCATGCAGCAATTTGTACAACATGCCATCTAAATCTACAGTAATTATGACCCTGCTTAAAGGGTAATTCCCAACTTAATCACATTTAATACACCATTATTTCCAAGATCTAAAAGGCTGAAATGGGCATTTATCTTGCATTTTGCTTGAGTAAAAGCAAAGGGTTACAAAGAGAAAAAAACAGAAGGAACTACCAGAGAGTAGTTTTCTTCCTGCAGAGTATAAATACAGCCACGCAGCATTATACAATAAAATGCATTCACAGGTCAAAATACATGTTATTCCTCTCACAGTAGGACTTGGGGGGATATTAATCCAATTCATCCACTGAAAAGAATATGCTAACCCATATGGATCCTTCACCTTCTCCCTCCCATGGTGAATTCTCTGCTTCTCATGCTTACCTGTACGCCTCATGTAAACCAAGTGTTCCTTAAAAAAGATCAGGAGGTATCAGTTTCAAGGATGTACAGCACGATGCCCATTCACCATATCCTCTTTTGGTGCACAATGAGACTTATCAATGAACAGTAATTGATTCTCTGATTGTACAAAACATCATAATGTTCCCATGTGACCTGGAATTACATAGGAATTCTCAAATATGCCAGGTAATTCTTCAAAAGCTGACACGCTGCTGTACTTATCCCAGTTTTGTGTCCCCCCTAAAGTGCATTTCTTATCTTCTCTCATACACATTTCTGCATTTCCTATGACTGTGTACTTGTTCATTTAATTTTTAAATGCCAATACACAAAAATCAGCCTAAAACAATAGCTCCAACTTCAGTTTGGCTTTTAAACAACTTATAAAGCCTTTAAACAAATACATCTGGGAAAAGGCTTTATGTTGTTGGTTGCTATGGAGTAGGCAAAACAATGAATCTTTGTAGTCTTTTTGCTCTCCTAAGAACAGACCCAAAGCCTATTTAAGGCAAAGGAAATCTTCACTGACTTCAATGGTTTGGAGACTCAAAGTGGTGCTTTGCAACTGTCTGTCTCAAAGCCCCCCACTCTTACAAAACATAAACCAGCATTACTGCTGTGAGAAGGATGGGAATAGTGAAGCACAAAGAGTATAAACCAGAGCAGAGGAAAAACAGAATAACTTCTCACAGTCACCTTGCAGATCAGTGGGAGAACTAAAAATAGAACAGATCTCTCTACGTGTTCTGCTTCTTTATCCTCTCCCATAAAACAAGATGCTTTGCTCTGGAGAGGGAGAAAAGATCCATGTCTGTTGTTGGCCTCTCAAAAGAAACCTCATCTGTGAAAGGCTTTGCTCTGCAGTGAAGTCCCTCCCTATCCCTGGCTACAAGATTTGGATAAGAGCAATGATTTTGGAACAAAAAAGGAAATTCCACATAATACCAGGTTTTCAAAATGCTAAGATACACTGATTTATCCAGGGTGGGAGCATGCAAACCAGGCAACCCTGCAAACTACAGCAAGTTGTGAAGCACATGTACAAAATCTCAGCAACGACAGAAACAATTCCTAAAGAGGCTCAGCTTGCAGTCAAACCATTAGACCAGAGCCAGGATTCCTGACTCAAAACTCCCTGCTGTCACTACTCTGACCTGGTTTTGTCCCTCAGGGTCAGTAGTTGATCCTACAAACGCTCCCGTGTGTGAGGAGCTATTGTAAAGTGTATCTGGTGTGCTGTAACGCTGCCTGGCCATTTACATCCCCAGGAACAGCACTGGGAAAAGTTACATTAGGCAGAGCTTTGTAGAACAGGATTTAGGTGTCTCTCTCAGAGAGCTCAGAAATGCTGGTCACGCTGCTCCTGAGCTGATGTGTTCATCCTCTGCCCCCCACAGTGCAGCTCACAGCGAGACACAGTTTTGCTTTTCCACAAAATTAATCAGTTGCCAGAAAACCACATTTCATTATAATACTATCAAGATATTTAAAATTTCTCTTGGTAGATCCACAGGCACGTGGAATATTTTTTTTTGTGCAAATGTAACCTCCCTTTGAAGAGAATTTAGCAGGGGGCTTTCAGCAGTTGCTGACGTTGCCCTGACGGAGCCCAGCAGTGAAACGATACCTGAGGAGCAGACGCCGCGAGCCAGGTCAGTCAGCACTGAGCCGTGGGGCTTCAAGAGAAAACCCCTTCTTCTCACAAATCCATGGACAGAAGGAGAGTGGATGCTTGGAAATCCCCCAGAGGCAGTACAGAGGCTGACAAGAAGCCAGAGAGCCCCTCAGAAAGAAATTCATCTGTAAGCCCAGAAGGCCACTCTGTTCACCAGGAATCACAGATCCACTGAGAGGAAAAGGAAAAGGGAAATCTGTAATCTGCATTCTCAGGGCAATAAAGGCAGGACTCTGGACCAGAAATACAACGTGACTGTAATTACAGCTCTGCTGATGCCATTATACATATAAAAGTCTTTGGTGTCTTCAGAGTGAAATATGTACGAGGCCAGAGGTGGGATTCCTGACTCTCAATTCCCTGCTGTCCTCCTTCATTTCAAAATTCCCTCCTGGCTCCCTCATTTTTCTCACTTGGAGTGCCACCTTCCCTGATGAATCCAGAGTTCCCACAGCTTAGGACACACCTAAAGCATTTGCAGCCCCAAGTCACTGAGTTCCAGGGCTTCTCTGGCTGTGCATTTGGGGCCACTG